GAAAAAGAGGAAACAACCAAGCGAAATGCGGTAAGCTATAAGCGAAAAAACATGTTCTCAACACTTTTGTGGTTAATGTGTTGCCTGCTCTTAACCATTTCAATTTTATGAAGGATTTCTGAATGTTCTCTATACATTTATCGATAGTTGGTTTCAAGGACAGCTTACTTGTCCAAGTAAAACCCAAATATTTAAAGGATTTTACAACTTCGATCTTCTGTCCATCCATAGTGATATTTATTTGTGGTATTCTAACTTGTGAGAAAAAGATTTGTGCTACTGTTTTACTAACATTTATCGGTTGTTTCCATTTCCGTGAGTACGCTGAGATCTGATTGCATACTTTAGTCCCTTCTCTCTCTAGAAATTCCATCATGGGCGCTAAATTTTTCGATATTGGGGGTCGGATGAGTACGTTGAGGTCGTCTGCAAAAAGGTGAGCCGAGTGTGCTCCGAGAACTGTAGTCAGATCACTATGAAAAACGATAAAGAGATACGGGCTTAAACTACTACCTTGTGGAAGACCCGAGAAAATTTGAAATTTATTCGAAATTTTCTCTCCAAAGACAATATATGCTTGTCTATCGTTTAACCATGATACACAAAATTTGAGCACACCGTGAGGCATACCCAAGCGATTCAGTTTAACTATAAGTGCTGCATGCCAGATTTTGTCATAAGCTTTCTGATAATCAACGTATATAGCTAGTGTTGGTATATTGGCTGCCATATTATTATCTACTTCCTGATAAATAGAGAGTACTCTTGTGGGGAGAAGACATCCGGGACGAAATCCTGATTGTTCTGCTGGAATTAATTGGTTCGTTTCTGCCCAATATCGTACCTTTTCCAATATCACTTTTTCAAAGAGTTTCGAATGTGTTGCAAGAAGTGATATAGGTCTAGTTTGATCACAACGCGGAACACCTGCTTTTAATTTATTTAATGTTACTATTTTAGCTAATTTCCACTGCTCTGGATATCTACTTTCTTTAAGCCATACATTAAAACACTTTGACAAGCATGTAATGTAACTAGGTGGAAGCAATTTAATCATAAAGTTCGATATTTGGTCAAAGCCTGATGACTTTTTTGGTTTAAGCTTTTTTATGAATTTTGTTATTTCAAAGGCACTTGTTAGTTCTACTGTTTCTTCTGAAATACTTAATTCATTTAGTAGTATTCTATGTTCTTCTTCAATTTTCGTGTCATTTGAGTCGTCTTTTTTTATTTCCGTTTTTTTGAACTGGTTTTCATAGTATGAAAACAGTGTATCAACTATTTCTTTTTTGTCTGATATTACCGATTGTCCGTTATCTAGTTTTGAAAAAGGCAAGCTTTTGGATTTGTATACACGAGACAAGTGAGACCAGAAACCTTTTTCTGGTCGATCAGATTTTTCTCTGATTGTTGACAAGAAGGACTGCCAACAAGACGATTTATGTATTGCAATTTCTCTTCTTACTTCCCGATTTATCACTCTTAACAAAACACGTGTCTCTTCATTCTGACAGCCGCTCTTTCTCTCTCTGTAATATTTATTTCTTATTCTTCTAAGCTTTTTCAATTTATCTATTATGAGCGGTGGTAGTGATGGTCGGTATTTTTCTTTTTCCTTCCACACGGTTATTCTGTTTTTTAATGCCGCGAGGAATCGAGTGTAATTATTGTACCACTCATCCACTGATGTTATAACTTGCTCTTTGATCCAAAAATCTTGAAGAAGTGCCAGCATTCCTTCAAAAATATGCCACCTAACACAAGGGAAAAAATTTTTGATTTCATAGCCTATATTTTCACACGTCAATACAATAGGCCAATGATCGCTGGTACCGAAAAACATTGTCTCAGCATTTACTCCGTCAATGTTGGAGAAAGTGAGATCGATATTTCTCAGGGAGCGTTTTGAAGAATGTGAAGAAGAAGGAATGTATGTCAGATTATTTTTTTCTATCCATTCTTTCAAAATTTTACCACGTTTATCCGACGCTGTACTATTCCATTCATCTAATGACGCATTGAAATCTCCTGTAATAATTGTTCCTTGCGTTATAAATGGACTTAAATCGTCGAGGTTACGCTCTTGACCTTGAGGCCAATATATTCCGATGATTCGAATCGGATCGGAGAGATTAAAAACATCTACGATTACAGTGTTTTCGATATCTAATTGAACTTGCGTAGCTCTTAAATGTTTTCCTATCGAAACACACACATCACCACTTCTATTTGTACCTTGTTGGTGAAACGTATTAAAGTTTGGTATAGTAAACTTATTCCATAATTCACCAACTTCTGTCAAAACACTAATTGATGCATCTACTTTATAGACTAGATCTACTACTTCTAAATGGCGGGTACCCCAACCTTCCACATTATAGCATAAAATATTTAGAGGGGCTATTTCAGACGGCAAGTACTTATTATTATGCTCCTCCCATTGCTGTAAAACTGAGGATAATGTACTACCAGAATACCACTCATCTAGGAGGCAGCGAGTAAATTCAATGTCTTTTCCTGTGAAGTTCCACTTATCTAATTGTGTTAATGATTGCATCTTTCTTTCTATATGTTTAGTGTGCAGAAATGAAGGGAAAAAATTCTTAGCTGTTGGTTTGAGAATTGAATTCACGTTCATCGAGTATTTGTATTGCTTGATGCAGATAATGTATTTATATCTTTGCTTGTTTGACCATCTTTATGCGTGTCGAGAACTTGTTTCGATGACGTATTACTTGTACCAGCTTGTAACTCTTCCAGGATAGTTGTAAAAGGTAGATGTTTTCTTTTTACTTGAATTTTCGCTATCTCACATAGAGGATTCACTATATTCTCCATCACTTCACGTATTGAACATAGCGTATTTTTCATGGTTTTCTGTAATAATTCCAAAACTTCTGCATCGTGTTTCATACGCATGTCCATTTCTTCGAACTTTTTCTCCATTCGTATATTTGCTTCAGTCATAATTGACAACTGTTTATTTAGTGCTGTAAGAACACCTGTTATTTCTGTAAATTCAGTTGTTGGTTGATGCGTTGGTACTTGTTTTAATCCCCAAGCTGCTACTTTATTTCGATTAAAATTTGATAGAGGTGGGAAGTCGTCGGGGTTAAAAATTGGTACTTGCTTATTTGGTACTGATCTATTTATTACACCACGAGCGAGTGCGTTATCGACTTCTTCTTTAAGTTGTATTTTGTATGCTTTTATAGATTCACATTGACTACTAAGAGAGTGGTGATTACCATCACATTGAGCACATCTTGGCTGTTGAGAGCAGTTGTGTCTTTGAATGTCAGTAATTTCTTGTAGACATATTCGGCAGCGAGCCGTTTCAGCTTGACATTTATTTCTCATATGCCCTAAACACCAACAGCGAGTGCAATATGTTAATTTATTACCTTCTAAAAAACGTGTAATTGGTACTATAACATTTCCAATTGAGACACGTGCCATGTTGAGCGCTCGATTATACTCTTGTAAGTCTTTGACGTGAAAGCGATAATCATCTGTTTTTCGATTGTATGAATATTGGATTCTCTTTAGATTTACAACTGATGCGATTGATCGTGATATTTCTTCTTTTACAAATTCATAATCCAAGCCACGAGGTATATATCTGATGACTAATGCGAAACAATCAGGAATAAACTTCGGTTTTTCAATTGTTATTGGTATATTCATTATACTATTAGGCCATTTTTCGGTTGATACAAGATTAATATAATCTTCTTTGCCATTTACTCCCAATTTAAGCTTTGCTCCTGTCCATCCAACGAAACTAAATCTATTAATTTGTACATTTTGTTGTTTTAGATATTCAAAAACTTGATCCGCTGCATTGAAAGCTGATGGTACTTTTTGATCTTCATTTGTTGGGTGGAATGATATATAAAAACATGGTAGATTGCTTGAAATAGCTCGTTTCACTTGATCGAAAGGAATCTTGTGTTGGTTCATGTATTTTGATGCTAAATTTACCTGTTGATTATCGCTTGTTGCATCTAATATTATTTCATTATCTTGAAATTGTTTATTTCCAGATCGTTGTTGCTTTGGTGTTGGTAATCCTCCTGATCCAGCACTATCATTCAATCTACGTTTATTTGGCGTTGATACATCTGGTTGTATTTGTACTCTTGATTGCGACTTTTTAGATTGATTTACTTGTTTGTGAATTACTTGTTTATTTGCCGGAACATTTTCGTAGAACAGAATTAAATTGTGACCTGTTTTTTGATTTCGATATTGACCTTGTTGTTGACGAAATTGTAAGAAATCATTTAGCAATGCTTCATCGTTTGCCAGTTCATTCATAATGTATTCTCGTTGTACGCCACTACCATCATCATGACCTGATTCAATGTTGGAGGCTTCTTGTAAATTTGTCTGTTGATTGCATAAATTATAGCTCGAAGACCGTTTATTTCCTACGTCTTTTTGAACACCACCTTGATTGTGGTGATAGTTATTTTCCATCGTGTGATTTTTAACTCACTCTGATGGAAAGATAAGAGCACTTACAAAGGAATGTAAGCAAAATTGCGATGCGTCTAACTCGGACAAAGCCGAAAAGAGAAGTGACTAATCAAGTGCTGAGGATGAATAATGTGCGGCATCTAATATTTGCCCCGTGACTACAATTCTTCTTCTTGAAATCGAAATTTCATGCACATGTATTCTATATACCCACAGTGTGTCACCGGTTAAATCACCCGTTCTTATCTCACTCATACCCATCGCTACTCTAAGCTGTTCCCTCTGACAGCCATGCTTTTTCTTTACAGTTTTCGCGGAACATTGATGTATGTGCACAAAGGACACTTGAATAGTTACTTTTATTTGCGCAGAGAAAAAACTCGATAAGAAAAATGGAGAATGATGTCCTGTGTTGACTACCAACAGTGGTTTTTTTTTCAACTTTCAAGACAAAGAACACGAAGACAAGATTCAAGTGAAGTGACGTTGAATCAGCAAATATTAACAACACATTTTTATACAATAAAAATTGTTGTGCAGAGTAACCAACAGCAGTGCTTATGCATTCTACGAAATTTCCAGAGTTTCATATATCTAAGGGCACAAAAACTATACAAATTTTGTATGAAAGAAGAAAGTTTTTTGTGCACGAAACGACACCCGTTATTAATTTCAGAGAGAAAAATGCTTTGGCGTACTTATCCATCATTATTATGTCTATTTTTGATTTTGAAATATGAAAACTGAACAATAATGAAATTATTGTTATTTTCCAATAAGTGGATGATCATTCTACTTTATCTCTGATCTGATTTTTCATAAAAATGTTTTTATTTTCTGTCATTTATTTGATGCTCAAAAGTCATTTCATGTAAACATTGATTATAAGAAGGTCCATGTTTGTTTTTGATAATTAATGTTCAACAAACATTCTCAAGAAAAATCATCGTCGTTCAAATGATTCTATCTGTTTTTAATTTTCTCTCCTACTTTTATAATTCGAAAAACACCACTAGAAAAAGCAATCAGTGAACGAACCTAGGAACGAAAGACTAACGAACGAGATTCAATAGATATTGTGACGCTGCGGCTGAGGGTGCCGCAGAAAGCTAGACACATATCTCAGCCGCCTATCACAAGGGGCTTCAGTATGAGTGCCACTGAAGGCTTGACCAGTGTTTCATGGATGAAAATAAAAGGATTACGGTTGTCACCTCTTCTGTTTTTAGCAGAAAAATGCTGCTTTTTGAAAGTTTTTCTCTTTTTTCAATTTTTTTCTTCTTGTTAAAAATATTTTTCTTTTTACAATGTATATCAACAGTCTTTCAGTCTACTAATTGTTTACATTAAAAATAGAAGAAATATCGATATCTCCATTTGTTCATGTCTGCTCTAACTCTGAACCTTAGTTTTTGAAACAACATCTGTTTTTTTTTGTTCTTTACAAAAAAGCACAAACTTTACCTTCATGGTTCGTCTTGACTTTTTTTCTGTCTAGAGTTAGAATAATCACGGTCAAGATCATGTGTCGTATAGCAGCTTGTAGCATTGAAATAATGCAAGTATAGCTTGAGTACACTTTTTCCTCGATTAATCACTATATTAAATTAGTTCTTAAAAATTATTTGAACAAGTCTAACAATAGTTGAGATATTTAAAAAAACGACAAAATCTCAGTTTGCAACATCAGATTGTTCTATACTCGTTTTATTCACACAGAAAGCACTTCGTTATCCCGTCTACGATTCCTAACGTACGAGCGGATAAGCTCAAAAGAAGACAACTACCTAGCAACTCGTGATGAAATATAGTTTAATCAGATTGAAAAGGAAAAAATTTTAATCGATTCTAATTTTGAAAAATATTCATATCGGACTTAAAATTGCTATCGTTTCAAAATTGATCAACTTTTTTACATGTTTAGAACCGATGAATAGAATTCTCCTAATGACATAATTAATATTGAGATGCTTCTAAACAAATCATATGTACGAAGATTCTGACTCGTATCATCAAAAACTTCGGATCTAGTTATAAAAAATATTTTAGCACTTTTTATAACTGATTAACGATATTTTCAAACTTAATGTCACGGATCATGTGTTGAATCATTTCTTACTGGATTTTATATGAGAAAGATTGGAATGTGGTGAGCAATCCTCTACTTTTAACCGTTAAAAAACAGCTCGAAAAATAATTTAGCATGAGAAAAATGCTTTCTGCTTTTTTTCTGCTTTTTGAACGTTACAAGATGTCAATCCTGAAAGAGACTGACGAAGACTGAGTGGCGATTTACTTAGTCGCATTTGGTGAGCATTTTGGTTTTGTGAAAGTTCACATTGATCGCGATTCTAAAAAAAAACAACGAGGAGTAGATATGGCAACAGATCATTGAGTATATTATCCACAAAAAACGACACCATGAACTACGAAAAATCAAAGAGGGAGAGCGAGATTCGGCAGGCCCGGCAGCGCTGCGCCTGAGGGTGTCGCTAAAAGCATGAAATATCGATCAGCCGCACACACGCAAGGTGCGTTAGTGCGGGTGCCGCTGGAAGCGTAACACATATTTGAGTCGCGTACATTATACGGAGCAACGGTACTGGTGCCGCTGTGTTTAATAAGTGAAAATCTGTTGTTCAGCTGACTGAAAATGATCCGATACAAGTAAAAGACCTAGAAAAACGACTGACTCTTGTTATTCAATTAGCAGAAGAAATATTATCGAATAAAAAGAGTAGATGGTTACGTATCGATGATAGATATCTCGTTTGAACATCGGGTTTATTTGATAAGTAAGGGGGAGAAGTCACAAATAATCAGAATAGCTTATCACTGTTCATTGATGCATTTTGATGACGATCTTCTTAAGTTTTCTAGCGTAGTCAGTCACACAATGATCGTTGATCTCAGCTGGAGCAGTCATAAGCATAAGAAGCTTTGTACTGGTGTTACAAATTGAATAACGAAAATAAATAAATCAAGTTGATCCATATAGGCTAATGTCGATCTGTAATTGATTTCGAATCTTAGTCCTAAGGTGATAATAATCTCGATAGAACGGATTGACTTTTGTTGGACGATAATTGCCTGCCACTTTCAACGCATCGGAATACGGAGTGCGACCATAATACCATGAAGCCGACGCTAATTCAATCACTGAAATATGCGTGACAATATCACTAAAACTAACCCATTGATGAATTCGATGGTAGAGTTTCCCATGGAGATGGCTTTTGTGACTACCATCTAAGTGCACTAAGACATTGCTATCGTCTAAGATGTTTAGCAAAAGTTCGAAGTTTTCAATGAAAATTTCGCAACAACATGGACGATTTTTTCAAAAAAAAACGAAATTTCGAAGGGTTTCTCATCCGCGAAACGGTTGAAGATCGAAAGTTTTACACCATTATACCTTAAAGAGAGTGAAATTTTGACACCTCGTAAAGCATCAATAATTCATATTTTTCACTTATAGTCGATCGAATTCCAGATACCGAGCAATATATTTACACGCATTACACACTCTAGTCACCCTTGTGGTGTGCACCTCAAATATGTGTCTCACTTTCTGCGGCACCCGCACTAACGACCTTGCACATGTGCGTCATTCAGAATGTATCATGCTTTCAGCGGCACCCTCAGTCGCAGCGCTACAATATCTACTGAATCTTGCTCGCTATTCGTTTTTTCGTTGCTTTTTCTACTTTCTTTGAATTTTCAAATGTACCCAAAGTAGCGTAGTTGATATCAGTTCGAAACCATATACTCAATACCCTTCCAGAAAATATTCAATAATCTCATTTGGTCACGTGTGTATTGATGCGAAATCCGGAATAATCACGACAAATTTCTGAAATTCCAAGTACTGTCATCATCGTCTATCGTTTCGTTTTGTCATTTGTTATTGTTTTTTTTCTTGGGGAAAATAAACTCAATGACCTTTGAACTTGTCAATGAATATACTCCATGTACCTTAATTAACCTATTTTTCTCAAAGAATCTACTCAATGAATTTTGTAGAAAAACTTCAATCACATATACATTTAAATTATCTCTCAGTATAGTACTGGTGACCAATGCATCGAGTTTTATCGGAATATATATGAGAAAAAGAAATTAAAGACAAAAGTGTTTTTTCGATTCCTCGCGATATTGCAGCTACCAAAAATTCAGACATGAGATTTCAAAGTTTTGACCTAAAACAAAGACTCAGGGATGTATGTCATGATTTAATAAATTATAGATCAATAACATATACGCCCAGTGTCGCTGGTACTCCATGTCACTCGAACACGCTACCGACACCTGTGTGGACAGTATAAATTCAGATAAAAGTTGGAATTTTCTTTTAATAGAATGAATACAAATGCTATAGGAAGATTTACTACAGAAAGAAAGAAATAATATCCTAATTTCCTAAGGACAATGAAAACATTTTATTCAAAATAATAAAATGTTAACGGTTTCCTCGATGTCAAGGAATTTCATTTTTCCGTATGATGACATGCATATCTCATCAATATAAACAAAAAAATTCGTGAAACTAAACTCAGATACCGATGCTTCAACCAGAAAATTCTTTAGGAAACCTTTCTCAAAAATTAATATTATTACTATTTATTAATTAATAAAACTAGCCGTAGATCCAGATTTCCAGATCTCGATTACCCTTTCGACAACGTTTTTCTAAGACGTATGGCTGAGTTTTTGGTGCATTAGCGTCTACTGGTTTCCGATTGTCTTGGACAGACAGACAGACAGACAAACTTTATGCATCTTTTAAGCTCCATATAACCCTTTTTTTTGATAAAAAGGATAATGAAAAATTATTCTAGGAACTAGATCAACTCAGAGGATATGGATGGATTTTTTCAGGATGAAAATGATGCGTGAATCATTATTGCTTCGACTTCCATTAGTTTCTAAATGAGAAATTTTCGAACCAGGACCTTTACGCACAGATATATCATGTTCGAAGCATTACTTGTTCACGTTTGAATCATGATACAATAAGGTTCGATGTTCTGGTGACGAAAATTTGACCATATATATATCGAGAAATGCAAATTGCTTTAATTGGTGAATCCAGGGAGAAAGAACATATTCAAAGAGGATAACATGCTGAACTAAGAAAAAAGTGTTATTATTCATTAATTTTAAACCGAAATTTCCGATGTGCTAGTCCTTAGTCCTTCAACAAACTGGAATAAATGTAGTAAGATTTCTCTATGACGGTAAAAGTGTTTCCATTGTGTTTCATATTTTAAATCCCTTAAGAATTATACCGAAAGCGCTGTTTTATATTTACTTCAATTACAATATTGACGGAATTAACTCACTGTAGTTAAACACGTTAGTAACTTTATTAAATGTGTCAGTTGTTAGATCATCGATGATCTTTGTCTGAATGAGAAAAAAAACACATTAAGAAGATTCTTATTTATTAGAGCACGTACTTTTAAATACACAGAGCTTTATAGTGAACGTTTATAATGGTAAAAAAAAGAGACTTATTCTCGAGCAGGGTCGTCTTCTACCTACGGAAAAATATTTAAGTAGATACCACTGCTAGACGCGGTTTTTCCATAATGACCGCGGTTATATCTTTGGAGACCGCGGGGTTCGAAATAAACTGCACTTAACCGCGGTACGTTGTACCGCAATATAGATTTACCGCAGTATGCTCGAACCAAACCGCGATGTGGTTACCGTTAAAAGCCGCGGTTTCAAAAATACTCGATGAGATGTAGAGTAGTTGCGGTATTCGAGAACCACTATCTTTCACGGTATCATATGTTGCGAACTTCTTATTAGAAATCGCGATCTCCATACATTATCTCAAAAGATATCATTATTCTAAATAATGAGTAAGTCTTAGTATATGCCTAGGTTTTTTATGCAATTTTTCCATAATGAGATTTCATAACAATTTCGATACATATAAACATGATCAGATTAAACAAAAATTCTGGTTGAAATTAAATTTCGTTTTCTTCTACATGAAGAATGAAATAGATTATAAACTAACCATGTCAAAAATTAAAAATACAAACTTTTTTTTAATCAAACCTTAATAAACTCTATGTCTATATTATTTATTCATTTTGTGTGATAATATGAAATGAATTGAAATTAAAACAAATTAATTATAAAAGTCGAACTACAAAAAACATTTTAGAATCATATCAGATTTGAATAAACATAGCGTAAAGTTACGATTATATTGAATAAAAAATAGACATAAATACATATTAAAAATATTAATCAGATTAAGTTCAGATGAGTATTTATAGTAGTGTTCACGAGATAGTATAAGAAGTTCAAACATAAAAATATACACAAATCTAAATCTATCGTTTGTGATTAATATACAATCGAAATATGTACATCAAATAGTAGTTCTCATCTGTGCTTTAACACATAGATTTACATATATACTGAATTATAATAGTATTTCAAATAATTCGACTTTTCAGTAGCGCACGATACCGCGGTTTACGAACTACAGGTTCTGATAAATTTGTGCTATACTCTAGAAAGGATTTTATTAAAATAGATTGCGTTTATATGTTAATAATCATGACTATAAACTATAAACAAGATTTTACAAATTCTATACAGTTCATCATCAACGTGAACGACGTTTCAGGAAGTTTGATAAAATTATAAATATGCTATAAATTACTAGTAATTCTAAGTTTCGTATAAATCTACTAGTAAATGAAATATATTAGTCTATATGAAAAGTATGAACATCACCAAAATGGTTCAATGGAATTAGTGGATCGCAATCACACGGTAAGAAGTTTAAATTTAACCAGTAGAAAACAAATAATAAATAGACAGTAGTATTATACGAGCTGATTGCGGTGTTAAATCGTCGTGTGAGATCACAGATAGGTCGCAAACGTGGAAAATCAATGATCTGCGGCTAGATGTCAGAAATAATATATCATCATATGATGAATTAATTTTTTTTCAAAAACCATTAATAATCGCGGTTTGAAGATACCGCGGTTTCGGGCGGTGCAAAAAAACCTAATAAAAGGTCTGACTTTTGCGGTTTGCAATAACCGCTCAGAGTTGCAACTGATCAACCGCCAATAACCGCGGTATTTGGTGAAAAATTTTTCCGTGGGTAGTGAACAGTTACCTAAACAATCCGTACAACTTACTTCTGAAGAATTACTTCCAAATCGTGAACCAGTTATAAATACAACGGGTGACAGCAAATGTTCATATGCGATTCTTCAACTAGATGATCTTCCCGAGCCTGATATAGAAATCATAGAACAAATTATAAAGGACTTACCAAACTTTGGCCGTTTCACTGAAATAGTTGGATCAAATGGTGAACCAATGTGCTTAAATTTAATGACTTAATAAATCAATATCTTTTCTATCTATTCATGAAAAACTATTTTAAGAGGGCTGAGAAATCATCGAGTTATAAGAAGTAGAATAAATTCGATGATGGTATTCTAATTAAATACGATGTCCTCAATAATAACACCAATATGTAAAGCGCATATAAATCATTGCACTTCACAACTTTTCTTTTTTTTCAACTACTTGGTTTCACAATAAATATTGATTTCTATTAGAAAATTTATTCAAATCGATTTTCTCTATAACATATCAGCGATTAAATTAGATTTGAGAAGATCTTCATCAGTTATTAAGGATTTTTTTAATTAACACATGATGCAAAATTGATTGTTTGTTATATTAACTCGAAAAAAAACCTTTTTTCCAGCATCTATGGGTCTTCTGTGGACGATCGTCTGTTCAGTCGTTCAATATTTCATATATGTAAACATGTCGAATTATGACAATTTAAATGTCGGACAAATGATAATTATCAAAATACCCAATGCATATTAAGTGTAAAATTTGACATCTAACTTTAAACAAGCATTCTTTATGTTAGATCTGCTGTGTATAAAATGACGTTTCTTGTTTAACTTTTAGATAGATAAAGATATTTTTCTTTTTTTTTATATTGTCATAAAACACACAATGACTCTTATCGAATGTGACATAGACTGAATATCGTTGATGTTGCACTTTCAATTCTTGCTTCATCATGCCACCACATTGCACAAATAACGCATCTTCCATTGCTTGTGAATTTCAAGCTCCATCTCCTCGTCTTGACACGCTTACTGGAGAAAAATATTATACAAGTGAAGATCCATTTAAGTTAACACCTAAGCAATATGAAGAATGGATTTATTCGAAAAATACCGAACATGTCAATGAAGTCAGATTATATCGGTAGAAATTTTGGAATATTATCTTAACAAAATCACCTCCATTTTTGCCATTACTATTTTGGCCACCAGTAATATATTATTTGACTTCTCCTCTTACATTATTTCGATTAGTTTGGATTTTAATTGGCTTTATACTTTGGTTTCCCATCGAATATTTATTTCATTGTTTTCTTTTTCATTTGCCGGTTATAGGACTTCGTTCTCAAAAGTTTCATTTTTTTCTGCATGGTATACATCATGTGGCACCAACTGATTTATGGCATGTTTTTTCACCTATTCACGAATTAGGAACACAAGCACTCATAGTTTGGTTTATTTTTTGGCTTGTGAGAATGCCAGATCCGTCTGCATTGATATCTGGAATGTTAATCAATTACATTCGATATGATTCTATTCATTATATAATTCATGCTTATACACCGATACAAATTTTTCGTATTCTTTTCATCGGCAATTACCTGAGAAAATGTTCAATTCATCATCGACGTCATCATTTTTCAAATCCACGAAAACATTTTACAATTAGTTTTGCCTCTTCTCTTGTAGATTGAAAAGAATGTATTAGTTAATCATTTGTTCTTAGGTTTCAACCTTTTTTTTTTCAATGGATTTCTCTTTAACGTCTGTGGACTTTTCCAATACTATGAGCAAACTATCTAATAATTCACCTTGTTATAGTACATCTTAAATGAGATTAGATAGTCTTTCTTTCACCTCCAAGACCAATATAATGTTTCAACGAAAGCCACTATCTGAACTGTTTATATCGGAAGTTTTCTTTTGATCCGCCTTCATCGGTTATATATTTGTTTTGACTCCTGAGTTGTCCGTTGAGCAATGCAAATCTAATGATGAAATATTTGTTCATAAACATTTTCGACTACTTGACCAATTTCTTTTCTGAATACCTTGTACAATTGAGATGTTTATAAAGTTTCTTGTTCACACTTACCGATCGAGGAGAGATGACAAAGATCTGGTTCTTAACAAAAATTTTCTTATACGAATCTGAAGAATAAGAACGATAAACGTAGAAAACTAAGATATTTATCAAGGAACACAGAGATTCGGATTGATTAAACCCTATCATTTTATCGATTTGCAGATTTTTGTCGCCACTTACCAGAAGAAGACCGCCGTTCATTTTCTATTTCTTATATATACTTTTGATACGATACGTGTGATTGCAATGATCTACGTATTGACAAAAACTAATGTTAAGCATTAGGTTATCATCATTTTAAATCTTCTTTAACAAATCAAACTCTATGGATTATTTTCTTTTGATGGAGTTTTTATTAGTAGTCAAATGAATGAAATTCATTGTGAGTTTCTCTTCTATTCACTTCATAAGACATATTAATATCTTCGAGTGTTTTTACATAGATTTTCATTTTCTGAAATGTCACGAGTAAGTAAATGATGCATTAATAAAAAGCAAAATACGTAATTACAATTCTATATATAGTTACATGAATAAAAAAACAAAGTTGAAACTAACATTTTCTGATATTCTATAGAAAAAAAATCACATTTTGAAAAAATTTTGGTATTAGAAGTATCCACATAATAGGATAGACAATACAGAATAATGGAACAGAATAGGATGATATTTTTATTGCTAAAAAAAAAAAGAAATTTCACTTAATAAGTTTGATTTGGATATATGAGCGTTTTGATTTGTATTGAAAATGTTGAGAACAAGATAAAACATATAGATGATATTTTTCAACTGATACAGAGGACTATTCTATTCACACGATCAATATCAAATTCAATTAAAATAGTATAAAATAATAAAAAACCGATAAAATAAACAGGAACAGAATCATAATAATGAACATATATTTGTAATTATTGATTATCGTCTTGCTACATCGCTAGGTCAAAAAAAGCAAAATAAAATAACATGATTATCATTATTATCTGTTGATTTACATCTTGATATTTCTCTTTTTACTGTACTATTGATAGAAATAAGTTTCTATATGATCATTCTTTTTCTCAAATATTTTTACTTTTGTCTCCATTTCATCATATACATCTAATGGATTCTAACAGCTTGTACTAATTAGAAAAACAAAATTTCATATTTTACATAATGATTCAACAACAACTTTGGCATCTTAATCTAGATATAGATATTAAAATCTTCTTTTTTCTACAGATTATTGTGTCCTACCCTGACCTGCGTTGCAGCATAGAACATGACAAGAAATTTTATAATAAAGTTTTTTTTTTAGAACAGGATAGGACAGGACAAAAAAAAATATATTCTGACAATACCTATATATGATATATCTTTTTCAAATCCTCTTTATAAATATCATTCAGCGACCTCTCGAGAATAGTTCATCTGAGAAAAACTGTTTATGTTAATATAGATTTAAACAAAAATTTCTAATATTGCTGATGTTATGTATATGAATATCATTAGTTTAAAGTGATTTCAAGATTACGGACATCGTCAATACCAATCTTTTCCTTTTTTATCTATATCTTTAGATGTGTTCTTGAGTTTGCCGAGAATGAATTACAAAATTCTAATCATCTTAAAACTTCTGCTTTATTTTTTTCACACACACAAAAAAAAAAATATATATATATATAATTTTTTATGAGGAATAGATTGAAGTGTTTCTTTATTACATAAGCAGAAGCAGCTGGACGAATAGCAGCAGTTGGAGCTAAAGCAAAACCAGAAGTAGGATCAGCAGCAACAAGAGTAGCAAAAGCAGAAGCAGCAACAGGAGTAGCAAGATGATGAGCAAGGATCATCATTCCTTGTACAAACTGCAAGATAGCAGAAGCTTTTTTCCAACGACTCAGGTCAGATGTTTCTATGTATTAGAACTCGTGTGAGAAAAAGAAAATTTCTATGTGTAACTAAGAGGAGACAGAAGGCAAGGGAGAGAGAAGGAAAGGAAAAAAAAAGGAAAAAATCAATGTTCTTTTTTTTTCTCTTTCTGTTCGTCCAATGAAAAAAAAAGTATTCTTTCATCAGGTCATGTCAGTCTATTTTTTCTTTTGCATAAAATATAAGTGCTCGTATATATAGACATACAATATTATTTTTTTGTTTTTCTTAATGTGTCATAAACAATCGAAAGTTAGCAGTGGATATAATATCAATAAATAAATGTTTAATAAACTAATATTTTTTTTTCTTTTTTATAGCGGTCACCATCTCCATCACCCCTCCAGCAACTACCACAACACCAAATACCTCCGCAATATGCCACCATTCTTCCCTCAACGGTGACTGATGGCATTGCATTATTAGAGGGGCTCGTGGAGAATTCCACGTTTTCCATGGCGGACGTGGAAAGAATTAACGCCCTTGCCAGTCGTGTTAATGCTGCTGCTGCTGGTCTTGCTTCTGCTGGTGGTGGTGGTTCTGCTCGTCTTGGTCCTGCTTCTGCTTCTGCTGCTGGTGGTGGTTCAGTTGATCTTGGTCCTGCTTCTGCTTCTGCTGCTGGTGGTGGTTCAGCTGATCTTGGTCCTGCTAGTGCTTCTCCGCCACCATCATCATGATAAAAAAAATGTTGTTATTATTGTTTGTTTTTTCTTGAAAAAATAAATCAAGAAATAAAAAATAATTCGTATTTTTTAATTCATTCTCCTGAAACTCTATGAAAATACTAGAAATAAGATCATTTTCTTCCAAAAAGAAAACAAAAAAATAAATAAATAAATATAAACATATCTAAGAAAAATTTTATTGAATTTTTGTGTAAACTGTTTTTCATGTTTGAAAAAGAACTCGGATAAGTTATTTTATTTCAATAGCTGTAAATTGACTAATCAATGGTCCTTGTCTATAAAATCATTCATTTAATAATTGTTTTATAGCGAACTATTTAGAACAAATGAGTAAAAATATTTAAACTAGAACTAATATCATGTTTAACAAGTATATTTTGTAGAAATATTGATTATTATAGAAATGCATTGACCATTATTTGACATTTTTGTTGGGCAATATCTTCAAACAATAAAGCTTTTGTTTTAATCAGTAGATGATTAACATAATCATATAGACTTCCTAGTTTATTTAAATGAAATATTTTTTTTATTTTTATATTTTCTATATAATTATAAAATAAACATGAAGTGAAAAGACATTTTACCAAATATGAGAAAGATTTTCCATATGCATTGTATACTTATTTGTAGCTCGTTTTAATTTACTTTTCTTCTAATAAAAAATTTCAATAGGAGAACTTCGACGTGATATTCAATCAAAGGCATTAAATTAATATTATGAAATGATTTATTATTTAAAATTGAAATATTCAACAAGATATATTAAGAAGCTCATTATTAAATCAAATAATAGGAATAGATTCAAATATAAAATGGTCAATTTTATTTAACCAAACTTTATCGATCATTTATATTCAATATGACGTATTTCGAGCATTCTCATCGGTGTTTCATATACAATCGACACTCATTTTTCTAGATGGAACAAACTTCTTCTAATCCAGTCGACGCTAGAAATGCTTCCAGATGAAATTCTATTAGAAATATGTAAATATTCATTAGTGATATTCTTCAATCATTTATTGGATTAAATTCTCGAATAACATGAATGATTACTCAATATCGTCATCATTTTTCATTACATAAAACTTCTCTACCACAATATTCTTATCTACATATGAATGTTTTTCCTCAAATTGGTTCACAAATTCGTTCATTAGTAATTGATTGTTGTTATTCAATTCTTCAAGATGAATTATTTCTAAAACATTTTCATGATAAAATATCAATAGTATTTCCATATTTAGAAAAACTTACACTTTTTGCATATCAACATGAACAATTAGTTGCTTTTCTTAATACTTTATATAATTTAAATTATCTTGTCGAAATTCGTCTTTACAGTCTTTTTCGTATTCAAAGAACTAATCATTCAACACTTGTTTAATCATTATTTCAAGCAAATAATCATCAATTGATAACGATATTCATTGACGAGCAATCGAGTTGTTTAAGTTTTGATAATACTAATTGCTATTTGAATATCCTTCAATTGCGTATAAAGTCGTCTAGATATAAAGATTTACCTTCTCTGTTTTCAGCTGTTCCCAATGTTCATGATTTAGATGTAATCGTCGAAGAAGAAACACATGTCTTGTGGAAATGTGCTGATGGAATTAGATTTTCTCCTCTTGTACATCTCACGAATTTCTGACTTAAATCTGCACTACGTATTTGGAAGTTAGAAGAACTATTTGCATTACTAAGTCAGTTACCGATCATACGAAATCTCTCACTTTTTCTTACTACAAATGATAAACGTCTGGTTGAAGGTAGCATAATTTCTTTACTATCTTCTACTATTCAACAATTCAATATACGCTACGTATTTTTTCTTCGATGCATCATTTGATCGAGTTGATAATATTGTTGTCTCTTGGCCATCATCACATCCAGTTACATGTTTTTTCAAGGATAAATTCTTATTGATTCATACCTTACCATGGCATTTCAATCGTTTTGAATATTCAACAACAGTTGATAGAATAATGTCTTCTGATGCAAATCCTATAACTCATTATTATAGACAAGTTGAACAACTAGATCTCATTATTGACAAAAATTCTACATTAATCAAATGTTTATCAATTATATTACAATATCGTCGAATGAGAGAACTTAATATGACCGTACGAAACAATAAAGACATTTCTAAAGGTATGTATATCTAATCGACATCGGAAATAAATCGCAAAACTCAAAGCAATATTCACTTTAGCAAGATAATCGCTCTCCCAATCAAAACCAGTATCACCAGAACAGGAACAGTCATTGTGGGTCTCAGTGTAGATTAAGATGAAAAACATTCATAAGAGATCATTTTAAAGTGCAACGAATCAAGCTCAGTACATGCTTACTTAAGCTTTTTAAGACTAATTAAACATTACAAATCATTGTCATTACTAGAAATTGAATGTTCAATATCGTCATTTAAGTGATCTACGACATCGTCTAGTTCTTTACGCATTTCTTAGGTATATATTTAATTGCTAAAAGTACTCTTAGGTGAACCTTCGGTATTTTCGAAAATGATCCATTTTTTCTGGATGTCACTAATCTTTCCGCTTTTCAATTATTTATTTTTTGTGTTTAAAGTTACTATAGTCAACCATGAAATTTTTTCTTTTGATTTAGTTTTTACCAAGAGAGAAAAAGCGGATCCTCGTGGATCCTAGGATCCATCAGAATCCATAGGATCCACCAGGATCTATTAGGATCCACCAGGATCCATCAGCATAGGTTAATGTTCTGAATATTCACGAAACCCAAGAAAATTAACGAAACTCATAAAAGAAGGATATAAAATCCAAACTATGTTCTAGATGAATCAATGTGATCTTCAGGTGCTATTTTTGCAACTCTGAATAGTCTATTTACAAAAGGAGAGTGAGTTCTGATGTATCCCAGGATCTACTGGAATTCATGTGGATTGATTAGAATCCTTGAATACTAAGTAAAAAGACAGAATCGATCGTGAAATTTCTGACAAGGAAGAGAAACGAAATTCTGGAGATTGAAACTCAGATGAGTAACGATGAATTTTGATATATCTTGATGGGTCCTGTGGCTTATACGATCTAATATGTTCCCTCAATATTCAGGTTTTCCATATTTATTTCATATTATTATGAAACCTGGCGGTTTCTGCTGAACTCTTGTGAACCTCAATAGACTCTAATGAATAATGATGAATTTCCCTTATGGAAAATATCTGATGTTTTGGAACAGTTCTCTAACATATCTGACAAGGGTCCTGCACAGGTTCACTATTTTTTCTAAGGGAACAAAAATATCTGAAAAAAGGTATCTCCACGAAGTTTTAAGGTGCAGAGACGATTTGAATTGGAATTCGATCAAGATCGTGAACAATTTATTACTGTTTTGCCACCGGAAATCACCCAAGAAGCTGCGAAATCTTGAAAAAATCGTGTAGTCACAGAATTCCATAATTTGAACAAGATTTAAAACACAGTTTTCACTAGGTTCTGAGCTGTTTACCAAAACAATTTTAATAAGGAATATTTTAAGGAAGCGATAAATCCTTAGAGAAACGTGCAGCCACGAAGCAACAACGATTTTGCTAGGATTAGAACAAGATCTTAAAAGCATTCCAAGCTCCTTTTCGTGAATTTTATGTCAGAATGTCGTTGGTATTCCAATGATATCTAATTGCAAAAATATATTCTGATTGCATCTCGCAGGACTTCATTTAAATTCTTTACCGATGTTATCCGTTTTCTTGACGGAATCTTTGCAAGGTTTTCTAGGCAGAAAAGAGAAGAAATGAACGTACAGAGTACTGATCACTAGGTCTACAGTTTACAAATCGATTACTTTACCGCAGTAGACTGTACTGAATCATTTAATTGCACTTAAGCCATCGGCATTTTAAATTCTCTCTGAACTATTAACTTGTATTTACACTTTGTACAAACACATATTATTCCAAGAAATATTCGAAAAATTAAATATAAAACTCAATACATTGATTATTTATCATGAAATTTTACTATCACTTATTGATTTCAGTTTGAATGAAAAAGTAATTTTTTAAAATAATTTAACACGAATGAACGAAATGCATTAGAAATTTTCACTGAAGTACTTGTCTCTTACTGTAAGTCTTTTTAAAGGAAAAGTTAATGTAACAGTTAAACTGGTATTAAAATCTTCATTTTAATGAGTTTTCAAGGATTATATGACAATAAAATCCGACAGATAAGGGGGTTCCATGCCATGAATATCATACCATAGTCAATATAAATCTAAAAAAGATTTGAAGAAAAATCTTCTAAGATTTTGCACGAATTTTTCCATTCACCTTCATAGAGATGCAAATGAATATCAGAATAAGATTCAGGCATGTTCTTGAACTGTTGCGTTTCTGTCAGAGTTGAAACAAAAAACATGGTGAAATCTTGAGTAGCTTTTCTGTTTGTAGCTGTTAATATTTTGCTTATAAGGCAGTGAAATATATTGAGATTCCAAGGTTCGCAAATCTTCAAAGAACCTTAAGCAGGAACTGCTTAAAATTTTGTTGAAACCTTTTCATCATTTTTTTAAAGCCTGAAACAGGTCAATCATAAATCTTCTAGATTCCTCAAAATCAAGCTTTGAGCAAACTCCACATGAAAATTGTAAAGATCTTCGTGCAGCCTTGATAACTTCTCAGAAAGATGGTGACCGCCCTTGACTTTTTCTAGGAAGGATCCTAAATGCTTGTCCATGAAGAGATCTGAATGGGATCCTGGAAATGGTTAGAAGAGATTTTCATAACAAGATCACGTAAAAAACGAGATATGATCCTGATTTAACTTTGGCAGGATTCATCAGTTGAATGATCTCACTGCTCTTGTATTATTCTTTGTAAGATCCTCGTCTGATCTAACTGAAAGTTGGAGAGGATGATGGTGAAAATATTCCGAACAGATCCTGGTAAAACTTTGATAAAATCTAAGCAACATTCTTTCTGTTATTTCTGCCAAGGTCCTGAGTAAGACTGAGAGTGAATCGAAGTAGGATCCTTCATTTTCAAATAAACAAAAAATCTCAGTAGGAACTTGAAAAGATTCTTAGAAGGCTCCTCTTTCGCAATCAAGTGTTCTGCAAACTGATGTTACTAAAACTCGAAGCAGAGTCTTGAATAAAACATGACAAGAATCTTCACATTCAGGATCCTCACAGATCTTTTTAGAGTTTCTAAAGGAAAAACAGGATAGAGACTAGAGTAGCAAATTCACTCAAGTTCTGGTACACTGATGCCAATCGAGAAAAAAGTGGATCTTGATGGATTCATGGGTCCTAATAGATTGTAGCATAGATTTATCGAAGTGTACCAACGTTGTCATAACCTACCATAATTAACTACAATTCGATAAAATCCATTACAAAATATCAGAGACAAGCAGAACGTAGCAGAAACCACTACGCATAAAGATACTACGAGATCGATGGAGGAAGCGTAGATCCTGATGGGTCCTAAAAATGCGCACAATCGAACATGATACGCCAAAAGATACTGAGACACATAAGCATTTCAGTGTCATGGATCTGCTTTTTCTTCTGCGTCACAAATGCTGAAGTCACTTTTTTTCTTTTTTTCATTTAGTTTCTTTGGACTCTAATGGGTTCTTGCATCTATTAGGCTCAGCTGTTTCCATCTTCTTTTTGGGATACTTCAAATGACTTATTCTAGAATTCATCAGGTGCTATCAGGATCCATCAGAATCCACAGGATCCACTAGGATCCATCAGGTTCCACCAGGATCCACCAGGATCCGCTTTTTCCCCCTTGGTTTTTACTGGATACAAACCCGAACGTATGAATACATTATCGGATGTTGAAAAATTTTATTAACTATGTTAATTTTACCATTTTAGGTAAATGCAACTTTATCATTAATGATATTGTTAGAAGTAGTAGTTTATTTTTAGTTTACTTACTACTAGCAAGGTTCTGTGCATATTGCACGGCTACTTTACTCTTGTAAAACTTCAAATCTGTACCTTAAGTTCGACTTGATTATAGACGAGTTCTGTTCTGAATAGACACACACACACTGAACTTTATACATACACAATTCATAGTCTAACTGGTCTATAGTTTGAAGAGTATAGAGAAAATACACCCTAGTTTTGCTCGACTAATTCATGTTCTTCAAGTTCACCATAGATTGCGATCAGTGCTCATATGAGTTTCTACATTTGGAAGCTTTCGACCAAATTACATTATTTAGTTTTCGAAGATTTCGAAGTACTTTTTTTACCAATATCTTGATTCATCTTTTTAATCATTTCATTTGTTCAAGCGAAAAGACAACGTAGTTTTGATAAAATTTAACACAGTCTAATTTTCTTATTTTTAGAGGATCAACAACCAGCATCACGTCTTTCTAAATTATCTCGGTTAACTCAAATCGTTTTTCGTGGTTCAATATTGTCCGATCTCGATCGTTTTTCACTCATACTTAATGCTGCATCTAATATTTTTCGTTTGGATATGCCTATTGATTATTTATTACAATTAATGGAAGATCAACAAATTACTGATCTTCTTCGTCAACGTATTATGTCACTTTCTATCCTAGGAACTGATACTCCAAGATCAACAATAAACCTCAAAGAAGAACATATACCTACGATCGCTTCTGTTTTCTCTCGTCTCTGTGATTTATATGTTGATATAACGCATCCACCATTAAACACACAAATATGTTCAGAAGAAAACTTATCCTTACAATCATATGAGCAAAATTCTGAAGTCATATCACCACTTTCAAGTCAATCAATGATATTATGTCTGTTGAAAAAATTCAAAGAATATAAACTTATTGGTTTATGTATTGACGGAAATTTTGATGAAAGGCTGAAAACAAATGCAGAGCAATGGTTACGGATTCATACTAATCTTTGTGAACAACAATTTGAAGCTATTTTCAATAATGAATTGAATCGATTACTTATTTGGATGTAACACTATTTGTATCATGTATTTATACAAGATACCTGTTCAAAACTCACCTATTTTGAGATCGACTATGCATATCAAAATCGAATAAATTTATCTAATTGTATTTCCCTATAGATCAATTTCATACAGACTGTTTGAAAATTTGAAATATATACACTTGTACGCTGCTCAAAAAAAGTCTAAAGAAACTCAGTTCGAGAATTGCGATCGGATACTAATATAGAACTGTTAATGATAATTTGTCGTAGAAATGATTAATTTTGCCTCATTCTTGACACTTTCTTTTCATTGTTTCTTATGTATAAAATTATGTATAATGTGTCATCTATTTTACCTTCAATACTGTTTAAATCAGTTGCTGCATAGTACGATGCTTTTTGCTAATACAATCAAAACAAAAATGTTACTCAATCGGAACAAAAGGTTCTTATTTCTTCTAGTTTTACTTTTCTTGATCATATTATTCTCTGGTTTTCTCGTAGCAATCATCGTAACTCCTTCAGTGATTGTGCGTAGGTGTTCTTTTTCATCGAACTCATTATCAGCTAATTTACGCTCTAAATTATCTGTTGATTGTTATCTCGAAAGGCATACCAAAGAGTAAAGATCATACAAGACTTTCACGAAAGTGTAGCACGGTATGCAGTTTGCCTCATCATTTTCCTGGTAAATCAAATAGACATTAACTATTACTAGACAAGTGCCAGGACTAAAGATTACTTAACATAGATTCATTTTTTTTCTCACACAAAGATCATCGAGAGTGGCCGAGAACCGTATCATATTCTACTGAGTTTTGTCGAATCTAGCTAATCATGTCCTCAATTAGACTAATCCAAATAAAAGATACTTAAGTCTCACTGTAAAACTTTCCGCCGCAAACGTGCAATTTTGATCGAGACTGACCGAGACTTAGGTATCTTTTGTTTAGATTAGCTAGATCCGACAAACTGAGTAAAATGCAACACAAGTCCCATGCAGTATTGTAAGTCTTTATGAGAGAAAAAAATAAGTTTTGTTAATTAATCTTTAGTCTCGGAACATGTTTATCTGTTGCCATCCTAAAGACCAACGAATGCATTTACCAAGGATTAATACACATGAAAAATGGCTATGTTAAAGCTAGTTTTGAAGAAAATCGAATCATCGCCAATGGATTAAAGAGAAAGGACGTCGTTTTCATTTTTCATTTCTTGCAAATTCTAATAAATAGAATTTAGTAAGATCTTGAAAAGTTGCTATTTGAAATATCCTTTAATTATACAAAACCATCTGAGAATTCAAACATCTCGACTCAAGTTTGTTATCAATCTATATTATATAATATTTAATGTGTGTTCATGTCGGATGAAAGATCGTAAGGCTGTAAGGAAATGAGTGTATAAGAGATAAAAGTATGAGAATATGGATATAAATGAATAAAGAGATAGGGCTACGGGAATATGAGAGATAAGCATATAAAAGAAGAAGAAATGCGTCTGGAGGATACAGCAACACAATACAAGGCCTACAGAGTCTATCTATATAATGCCAAGTGTCTAATTGTCTATTATGGGATGAAGATTAAAGTAGAGATGTAAAACTTTAAAGAAAAAGAGAAGCTCTGCAGTACTCATGGAACCTGGCTAAGAACTTATGTTTTATGAGTTGAATAAAAAGTACCATGCAAATAACAGGTGTCAACTACTAACGTTCTTTATTAAAATTCTTTTCTTCAACGCAATCGTATATCCTCTTCCTTCAGTCGTGCTACAAAGCACCGAATAGTGACAATTCTAGTCTATGTCTATTATTTTTTCGAAAATTCCTATAATTTCAGAATTTCCCATAATCTCAAAATAATCTTTAGAATAAAAACTGATGGATTCTAAGCTATATTTCAGTTCAAATAAAAAATGTATAGAAATCGATTTTTTGCCGACGAAAATTCTTTGTCAAGTGGCGAAAGTAGCGATGATGAACAACAACATACAAACAGTCCAATAAAAAAACTGTATGTAATATTTTTTTTATTTCAAAAAAACGATTACGCTTGAAAATTTTCTTTTTAGTGATATAAAATTATATATTGATAGCAGTGATGATGAATTAAATGTTAAACGTATTGTATGAAGTCAAATAGCAAAACGGTAATTATTCATTGAGATATTCAGAATTCATAGACTATTCGATTTCATCCTTAGATATGAAGAAATTAGCAAAAAATCAAACAAACAATACGTATTCATGATATTAGTCGAGTTTATGAATGTGAGATATTTTTTTTTAAATAATTTTTACTCTAATATCTTGATTATGTATGAAAATAGATTTCGAACAGTTAATCAAAATATATGATAAAGCTCGTTATGTAATAGAAAAAGAACCAAGTAAAATATAATATTTTCAGTTTGTATTATTAGTTATTATTCTTATTATAGAACTTCAACGATCATATATCAAAATATTAGTTCAACTCGATGATTTTATAACTAAAGTATTTCATTTTTTTTTGTTTATTTCATTCTTTTTTAAATCATGATTAATATAGTGTTGGAATGATAAACAATGGTGTAGTACATTCAATAAACAAAATTCCAATAATTTGAATATACTTCGTCAAAAATTTCGTCGATGTTTAAAACAAGATTTTTTCGAAAAACAAATAAATGTTTATCGTGAAGTTAGTTTAATCCGGATATTTCTCTTGTTTTTTTGTATTTTATTTTTCTAATAGAACCCAGACTATGATGAAGATTCAACAACTGATGAGGATGAGAATATTGGTGAAAATGTACTTTCGATAAAAGATAAACAAGAAAATAATAATGATGATTTTTCTAATCAAAGTGATGATGAAATAATCGATGATAGTTCAGCATCATCATCTCAAATTTATGTCAAATTTTTGAAGTATGTGTTTTTAAAAAATGAAAGAAAAATTTTGTGTATTTTTATTTTGAAATTATTAGAAATCGAACAACAACTCAGAATAAAGTTTCAAGAGGTAACAGAAAAAAACCAAAAATTAATGTACAACTGAACAATTAACACAAAATGTATGTTTCTATTTGTTTTTTTTCTTTTAAATAATTTCTCATTTTTTGATTATATTAGATTGAACAAGTGGTTATAATTGATAAAAATGAAGAAACTAATGAAAAATTAATTGTTAAAAAATTAAATGAAATTGTTTCTATACGTGGTAAACGTGGAATAAATTATCAAAATCAATTTGATTGTTTAAATACTTTTCGAGAACATGTTAAAAAATGTAATTTAAATATTGAAATTTATATGAAAATTTTATTAATACAAATTACAATTAGTTTGGATTATCATCATAAATGTTTAAATTCTGGTTTATGGAGATGGTGAATAGAAACACATAGATTCTTGTTTTTTTTATTTATCTTTTCATTTATTTTTAGTATACTTGATGATATCGAAGAATTAGTAAGATTATTAGCTGAAAATCAAAATCTAAAGGTAAAAATTATATTGTTATATACGCTTATTTTTATTTTCGATTTTTTTTATATAGGACGAATCAATGTTTAATATTCATGATGAAATCATGAACATCATTCTCAAAATAGATGCAGAATTTATTCGAATTTTACAACATATTGATGTTCATAGTCAAGATTATCTTCATAGATTAAAAGATGAACAGCGTATTTGTTCAATAGTTAATCAATTTAAAACTTATTTAGAGTCAAAATCACAAGATTTATGTACAATTTATATGTGTATGATTGAACATATTTATTATAAATATGATAGAACACCTGGTCAACCATCAATTGCATTAATGGATCAACTTTGTAAATATATTCGTGCTAATGATACATCAAATCGTATACGTGTTCGAGCAAGTCTTTGTCATATTTATCATTTAGCATTACATGATTATTATGATAAAGCATGCGATTTAATGAAAATGTGTCGTATTCAAGATACAATTAATTCATCAGATATTTCAATACAGATTTTATATAACCGAACATTGGTTCAATTAGGTTTATGTGCTTTTCGTTTTGGTGCAATTGATGAAGTACATCAAACATTAGTTAATATGCGATCAGGAAATCAAATAAAAGAATTATTAGGACAAAATATTCATCTAATGCATAGACAAGAAATAAATAATGAACAATACTTATTACCATTTCATATGCATATTAATATAGAATTAATTGAATGTATTTATTTAATATCAGCAATGCTTATGGAAATGCCATGTATGACTTCGAAATTTTCATCAAATCGAAGACGTTTAATCAGTAAACATTTTTATATAGTAATGCGTCAAGCAGAAAAACAATCTATATCAGGACCACCAGAAACAATGCTTAAACATATTGTTGTTGCTAGTCATGCATTAAGTTTAGATGATTGGAAAGAAATCGTCCATCAAGAACATTCAATCAAAAACATGTCCATGTCGATTGCTTCTTTTCTCAGTGTACAGCTGCTCGTTTCTCGTGTTACGTATTCAGTATAAAAAGAGGTATCGAAAAATGTGCTGATGTCTGTTCCAATTAGCATCTATATAATCGTTTGTTTAGAAATGAGATACCTTCACTTTTGGATTGGTGGGAAGACGAGGGTAAAGTACCAGAACTTCTGATAAAAATCTTTCTTTTTAAATTCATTTTTCTGACAAAAAGTTAGATACAAACACTTTCTGTTAATAAAGTCTTGCGCAAAAGTGTAATCTATACCACTATAATAATGCACAGTTGTTTGTCTGTCTGTTATCAAAAATAGAGGTAAAGCTTAGAGACCAGAGCAATCATTGATAGCTTTCTAAGAACTTTTAGAACTATGTTAACTTTACTAGAACGTACGTAGTATAAAGAAGGTAAGGAATAAATAAGCGATAAAGAAAGTATAGGGAATTTGGCAAGTATAGAACAACTAGGGAATATAGACCGTGGAGGACGTATCGACAATGTAAGGAATGTAGGGCAATTAAGTGGTATATAAAGTATACGGATTGGAGATAGTATAGTACGTCGATATGGATAAAAAAAACAGCCAAGCAGTCTTCACGAAGTGTGACTAGTAATTGTAATACTTTCTATTTGACCTGTAATAAAAAGTTATAGAAAGGTAGCTTTCAACTAAACTACTAATGTTATACACTCTTAGAAACAACCGAAAACCTTTAAAAATACTTCATAAACTCTCCCTTTTATACTTCTCAAGTACTTTCAAATCTCGTAATCAGCATTTGTAAGTTAAGATGTCTTTGATTATTGACGAACCTTCTCTGTCAGATTCCAACACAGATCAACTTTCTCTATGTCAAGTAGACCCAAGGTTAGACAAACCATAGTCCAAACTGATTTTTCGTTAGATCTATAAGAGTTCAGCTAAAAAAGAAAAGAACAAGGTTGTCGTCGTCTCATTTGAAGTTCAACACCGTTTGATTCATTATGATCCGACTCGAGCCGAGTTCTGCTTTTTCGTATGTCTTTCATGAATTTCCTCTAAGCATGTATAAACTTCTTAATTAATGATAAAATGAATAGCAAAGTAATTCTATGCTCTTAACTGTATTTTATCAGAAAACTTTATTTATACATTTAGATATGGAATTTAATACCACAAGCAATTGAAGTACATAAAATGTTGACAAATAAAATTAAAGAAGAATCATTACATGTTTATCTATGTACTAATGCTACCATCTTCGATATTATTGCATTGACAACCTTAGTCGATAGGTTTGAATTATCCATGCAACAAGTATATAGTGTCACTTGTAAGATGATTATCAATCAAGAACTAATGGTAATTGAATTATTGTGAATCACCTAACTAATATTTTTCTTTTAGGTGTCCATTGATGAACCCAATCAAATTGTTATTATGCACCGAAGAAATGCATCTGATGTACAAAACGTATAAGTGAAATTAAATGCAAATAAATGCGGAAACATCGGACTTAAACCCGAGTGTTATGTGTACTGAAGAATAGTGAAAAGAATTATCACAGTGGAGCAAATCATAACCCAAAAATCCAGAGCCCTTTTGTTGTATTTCGTACTCTGCTATAGTAAGGGAAGAACATTAGGTGGTTCGAGGCAAATTGTAGAGCACCCTTGAGAACCTCATATCCACGCGAACAGCGTCCTGCTTCACACGAACAATAGTGGAGAAATTCATGACCTAAAAACCCTGTTCTTCTCTCCCTCACTTGTTCCCACCATAACCCCCTCCAATGTATCTCGTTCTCTCCTATAACTAGGAAACAACATTAGGTTGTTCAGAGTGTATTGTAGAGCACCCTCGAAAATCCATGATCGGCGCGAACAACTCTATGTTTTGCCCGTACAATAGTAGAGAAAAGTTTTTTATGAAAATTCGACTATGTATGTCATTTTTGTATAAAAAGGCAGTGGAAAACAATACTTTGTTATAACTGAGCAATAGATTGATGAACCATTCCCATCTTCTTCTCTCGAGCAAGATATTTAGGGGACAATTGTATGTGCAAAATTTCGGTATTAATCCCATGAGTTTTTCAAGAGTTATCGTGTAAACGGCCGGACGGCCGGACACACTGACCGATTTTATAGCGTACTCACTTTTTGAGTACACAAAAAGTTTTTCAATTATACGAAAAAAATGAAAAGCTTAGTTAATTTTTATATTAATTAACATAAGCATTTAATCTTGATTTTGTTTTTGTTTTTTTGTAAACGAATTTAAATAAATTTTATATGTATTATATTCTTTATAAACAAGAATTACTGGGTTTATTTTTCTTTTGATGATGATAATTAATAGTAGATAAATAATGTTTCGCTTAGCTCAATATGCATTAAGAGCATCGCACCAAGCGATTAAACGACCATTTTTATGTTCAAGTGAGATATAATTTAAATGAAAATGTTCCTTTATTTTTTTTTGATTGTCTTTTGAAAGGTGTTCGAACATATTTATCTGATGCTTATCAAGCATTTGATAAATGGGATGAATCATTATCAAGTGAAATACTTCAAAAAACAAATATTAGTATGTATCAGAGGTCCAACCAGGCCGCATTTTTGCAGGCCTGGCCGGCCTATGACAGGCCTCTGAATTCCAAGCCTGCCTGTGCCTGCCAACTTATTTGTTTGGCCTGGCCTGCCTGCCTGGCATTTTCTTNATAATCTAAATGTTTTTCCTGAACCTATGGCAAAAGCTCGCCACACTTTTATTTCGAGTTCTATTGGTAATTGATTGAAAATATTGGCTGTTGTTGTTAATGATGTTCTTGATAAAGATGATGCTATTGATATTGTAAATGATTGTGATGATGATACAAATGATGGTGTACCTGTTATGGGCAAAGATGATGAAGCAGAAGCTGAAGCGGGCAGTGCTATTGCTGTTGATCTTATATTGAATACTGTATTATTCTTTGGAATGAATTCAATGTTGCTATAATTTTTAATACCACCCCATTTAATCTTTTTGGTCGTTTGTTTTGATGTTGGTAATACGCATGACAGAATCGTCAGATATTGTGTTGATTTTACAGCTGCAACAAATTCTGCACTTGTAGTGCAGTCATGCTTTTCATCGACGTATCTTCGAATTTCACCCTTTATGACAGCTACCTTACGGTCGCAGAGATCTTTTCCTGCTTGAGCTTCTGATAAGTCAACACGACGAATTAAAATACCTGTTGTTTCATATAGTTCCTTCACAGAAAGTAGCATTTCAGCTCCATGGTAACACCGTGCATTGTCACAACGTATACATGCTGATTCGATTTCAGGATGATCTTTCTTGAGTCGAATGAACACGTCTTGCAGAATACTAACTGCTATTGCACCATTCTGAATACAGTTGTCGAACGAATGACAAAAAGTCTTGTTTTCGAAGATTTTTTCCTATGACTTGAAAAGTGTATCCGATGGTTGCAAGCGAATCACATGTGTTAAATGCCATGGAGGCCCACGAATACCAAAGAACTCTGCTTGAGACTGGCGATACTTCTTTTCGAGTCATTTCATTGTCCAATCAATTACTAAAAATACCTGAAAAGACAAAGATAGCGTCTCAAAATAGCTACTCGTAATCACGATGAATAACTGATTCTTGTTAATTTGAAATATAGATGGATGTCATAATATCCGGAACTCGGGTATCGATATTTTGACACATCGATATACACTAGAATAGCGAGGAATTTGAGTGAATTAGGTGTAAGGAGATGAATACACGAAAAGTCGGTGTTGGTGGAAGTGTGGACGGTTGTTTGTGTGTGGGTGGGATTTCTGAAGCGTAGAAGACTAACATGCATGCACGAACACCCACAGGAGGTGCTGTGCTGTGTGCTTACTGCCGCGTGTGTCAGTTCTTTCGCGGCACCTACACCAGGTGCTGTGCTATGTGTGTGTTGTCGTGTGCTGATGCCCAAGGGGGAGGGAGCCAAAATGCTGTACTTCAGCGTACTTCATTGTACTCCAAGATTATATCAAAACAATTCTTTAAAAAGTTTTTGCTATTTGAAGTTTATTATCGACCTGTGTTACGGTGCTTTACGTGGAATCCAGCTTGGATATGTTTATTTGTTAGCAAAGTCAAAGCGCTTAACTCTATTCCATTAAATGCGGAGGAATGAATTGAGTACATTGTTTCATCAAAGATATATTAAATAAACCGCGGTGTTGCCGCAGTGTAAGATTCTCTGTACACTCCAGTATATTTTATTTAGTTTTTAGTTCAACCAGAAGTCTTGCAGAATGATTCAAAATTAGTTTCCATCGAGAGCCGCGTAGTTACTTCAAGCTCACTAAAATTTCTCACTTTTTAAAAACAGGACATCCATTTTTTCGGGTATCCATTTTACTGGATATCATGACTAGTAACCCGCGGATACCCAGCTTATAGAGATATTATGACATCTCTGTTTTTTTTACGAAGTTTTTTAACTTTTTATCATAATAGCTTGACATTTCGATGAAAATGTAATGAGAAGAAAGAAAGCGCATTGTATCTTGAACTATAGATCTCAAGTTCCTCTATGTAAATCGAAGGTCCAAATCAAAATTGCGTCTAGATAGCAGATCATTTTCATACATTCTTTTGCCTGTTTTTCGAAGATGATTAGTTTTAAAAGGATTTCGTCTTATACTTTATCGGAGAAAAAGACGTCCCGACTTCTCCTCTTTCAATTGATGAAAACCGCAGGTCTCTAGCTGCTGCTGTTATCGAGTTATTACGCTGACACCCGCCCCTCTTTCATACTGGTGCGGACATTAATTAAAGAAATTAAAAAATGTTCGTGTATGAATCATCGGCAGCCATTGAAACGTGCTTGACATCACAAAAAAGAAATTGCCATTCATGCGAATGTTACTCTTTTTTTCGACTTTTTTTTTCTCTCTGATGAAGCCGACACTTTTCTTCGTCAAGTATAGCCACCGGCGCAGCTTGTGCCCTTGAAGAGTGATTCATGTCGATGCAGTTATAAACTAGGCTACTGTCGTGTAATTCTTTCTTACAATTATCAAAAATATGTGCACAGAGAAAAACATTTTTAGAGACCTTTTCAATTTTCATTAGTAATCATTTTGCGCCAAGAGTTGAAGGAAAGAAAAAACACATCTATCATTGTGAAAAGGTGCCTATGGGCACCTCATTGTTTTTCATTCTATATATAAAACACAAAATACGACCTACCACTAATATATGTTTTGCTCTTTAATCGACCAGCATACCAAATGGCAACAAAATTTAGTGACTTGCTGGGAGAAAATTTACTCGAAGTTAGTACTGGCCAAAGTAACGAAGTCTATCGACAAGTACTCACCAGTGAACTGGAGAACAAAGTCATAGCGATCTATTTTTCGTAAGGAAACACCGGAACTAATTACATTCAAAAATAAATTGCTTTTTAAGGGCTCATTGGTGTGGACCTTGTCAATATTTCACTCCAAAATTGGCTAAATGTTACAAGAAAGTTCAGCCTGAATTACACGATCGATTTGACATTGTGTATGTGTCATCGGACGAAGATGAAAAATCTTTCGATGAATACTTTCATACTATGCCATGGAAAGCTATTCCTTATTCAGGTAGCTTAATATTTTCATTAATGAAACAATTTCGATTTTGTGAGCTCAACATAAATGCATTCAGAAACTGTCGCACTGACTTTTGTCTTCAAAACTTCAATAGTTTCTTAAATCTTCAAATAGCGTAAATTACAGTTGTGAAGTAAAATCAACAGAGAAAGGCAAAACTCTTTGTTATACTTTTTTTGTCTTGGGACTTTAATGAGAAAATTTTCTGTAAATCAGATACACTAGCGAATAATCAACAGTTTAACTAAATAGGATTTAGTTTGAGAAATAAAAAATCTGAAAAAATGCGTAAAAAGTGTCGATTTCCGAATCATCTCAGAGAATTTCGATGAAAATCAGAAGAAACTTGGAAAATTCTGAAAATGATGTGAAGTAACGTACAACATTGTAGAGTCCCTTGAATTAAAAGAACATTTTGAAAAATCTGAAAATATATTGGCATAGGTTTCAAATAATAAAGATTTCAAAATCACTGTTTTCAGTTTTATTTCTATTGATGTAACTTGATGTAAGCGGTTTTATTGTCCAGAGTGAGGGTCCCGAAGTTTTACATCACTTTTAGAAGACGACAGTTTTTGATCGATAGAGTCCATTGAAAATGTAAAAACATAACAATAATTGGCTTTGTGTGCCTGCATGCTTACAAAACTGAATTTATAGCACTCTTTGCAGAAGATTTCGCAACGATACTATTTTAGGAACGATCAATACAGACATATGAATTTACGAGCAGTAAAAAAACTTTCTATGTTTATATTCGAAAAAAAGAATTTTTCTTTTGAAACTTCGCATCTATTCACTGAGGACTACAAATACTTTAAAGCTCTAATTTCGACTGTTGCTATGGAGAACCATTCTTATTTAAATTAACAGTCTTTATATATATAGTCTAAGCTTTGTGAGAAATTTTTGGAATCTAGTAAAAAATATACTGATAGGTTAATATCATAGGAGCAAAAGCAACAAAAACAAACAAAAGTGAAGCTTTTATCTTCTCAATCGCCTTTGCCCAAATGGGATTTTAGACTTCAATAGAGTCCGTCGTTAAACAAACAAACTTCTGTCAAGTACTCAAGTACTGCTTAACAAAAAAAAATAAAAGTGACTTTTCCATCCATCACAAGAAAATCTCAATAGGAATTTTGTGTTACTACGTACTTATCACTGCAAGAAGGATATGCCACTGTATCCTAATAGTTTCAATTCGATTTTCCAATACTAATAGTATATCTTCTGATTTATCTGGTAACCAATACAATCTCGATTGACATTTGCAATACTAAAACCGCTTAAATCAAAGATCAAAATTACTCTTCAAGTGTGGTAGAGTGTATGTGGAAATATGCAAGGCTCTCTTTTTCTCTTATACTGACCTACTTCCAGATTTTGTTTGACTAAATTTTGAATCCACAAATTCAATAGATATGTGAGTGTGGATACTGGACTTCTCTTCAGTTATACCCACCTATGCACCCATAGTCTGACTAATCTTGGTGCGCACTCAAGAATAACTTCAACGAGGGAAGGCTTTCTTGATACTCTTCAACATTCAATGGAAAATCAGATTGAAGAGTGAGCATATGTCAAAATCAAACTTTATTGTAATCATTAACTGGGTTCTTTCATTTCAGATCGAGATCGTTCAAAAAAGCTGGAAGAAAAGTTTAATGTAGATGGCATTCCAACATTGGTCGTTCTATTAGCTGATGGAAGGATCTTAACTCATGACGCTCACGGCGACATTCTTAGCAAAGGAGCGGATGCTATTCGGTTTTGGGCACAAGGTGGACAAAATCCTCCAGAGGAATATATGTGGCCTGGAGTTTCCTGCAACGGGTGTCAAATGAATCCGCTTATTGGGCCACGATACAAGTGTTCTACATGTAATAACTTCGATTTATGCTCTGCATGCCAAGAAAAGGGGCATGAACATGAACTCAACATTGTGCCGCAGATACTAACAACTATTGGGGAACTTGTTTGGAAAGGAATAAATTTCGACTCTTAGGTTCTCAACAGGTTTCAATGTCATACAAAACAAATGAGTTACTTCGGAGAAGAACTATATATCCATGAGCCTATGCGAACAAGCTAATTGAAAGAAATAAAAATAAAATTGAAAAAAATATTCTTTGTCTTAAACATGCTATTTCAGTATCCTGTTATTGGAAGGGCTAGGTCGTACAAGAAGGCATATTGGTTGTCACCAGATTTATACTGAAAATTGCATATTCCGAAGTAAAATATGACAAATGGATCGAATAATGTCATGTTCAAGCAAAACATATCCCTTCTGAAATTGGTTTTTAACTATTAAAGAATTGTCCATTGATGTTAAGTTAGTACTGAATACTAGCTTTCAAAGTTAGTTTCTAGCGCTAACTTAACGAAAATGTCACATTCCTAAAATGAACAGTGATGAGAATATTTGAAATATGCATTGACCTTTTTGTGTTCTTATGCATAGAGAATATGATATCATCTTACGGTTTCTCTTCAAAGTCAAAGTAATATTCTGTCTCTCGAATCAAGCACATCAACAACACCACATTATGGATTTATTTTAGATATGAGCGAGCCTTCTCTTCGACAAAACTTGTAAATTCACCATTCATACCCTAAAGATT